AAGTCGCCTTCTAATCCACCTTTCTCAAATCCATCAATCTCCTGTTCTTGACAGGGAGGATTACGACTCTCTGTTCAAAGGTGTGGAGAATCGCAAAGGAGATGTTTGCCTTTTCAATCCCCTCCTCTCTCTGTGTCTCGAAGCACCGGCAGAGGGAGACAAGGCCTGCTTTGCGTCTCCTTCGGGGAAAATGCTGGAGAAACACCACTCGTGCCCTTCCCGAACCACTTTGCCGGCCTCCTCCCGTGCCACCGAAACGCCCTCTTCCCCTGCCGAAAACAAGATTGCGGTGGTAATATCCTAATGGGGGGAAAGGCCACCGCACGGGGGTGCCTCCGACGGATTCTGTTTTTGATGAATTATTTTTGCAGCAGGCTATTTATTATCCCGTTTCAAAGTGGCTGCAACCAGCGGAGAGCCAGCTTGAGAAAGTAGTTTCTGCAGAGAGGAAAATGAGGGCCAGGCTCCCCCTATTCTTTAGCCTTCAGCTCTGTGGGGCCATTAAGGCACACTTCAATTAGCAAGCGCTTGAAGAGGGAGGGAGAAAGAGAGAAGGGGACGTGGAGAAGAGGGCCTCCGGAGTGAGCATCTCAAGAGCCCAAAATAGCCCTGTGGGAAACGGGCTCCATATGGCGAGGGGCATTCCCCAGGTCTGATTTCTGGTAGCGCATACAGAGGGGAACGGGTCATGGGGGTTTCTGGGCCAGATTTAGAATCATATAGAAACAGAGATTAGGAAACGACCTTTTTGGCCATCCAGTCCAACCCCATTCTGCTAAGAAGAAGGAGCACGATGCTGTGACCAGACTTCCCTCCCTCTTGCTCTCCTTTCTTTCTCTCCTTCTCTCCTTCTCTCCTTCTTTCCTTCTTTCCTTCTTTCCTTCTTTCCTTCTTTCCCCTCCTTCCTTCCTCCTTCCTTCCTTCCTTCCTCCCTCCCTCCCTCCCTCCCTCCCTCCCTCCCTCCTCCCTTCCTTCTCTCTTTCCTTCTTCCTTCCTTCCTTCCTTCCTTCCTTCCTTCCTTCCTTCCTTCCTTCCTTCCTTCCTTCCTTCCTTCTCTACCTCTTTCCTTCCTTCCCCTCTCTTTTTCTTTCTTCCTTCCCTCCCTCCTCTCTTTCCTTCCTTCCTTTTCTTTCCCTCTCTCCTTCCTGCCTGCCTGCCTTCCTTCCTTCTTTCCTTCTTCCTTTCCTTCCTTTCCTTCTTTCTCTTTCATTCATTCTCTCCCTCCTTCCCTCTCTTTCCTTCCTTCTTTCACTTTTTATTTCCTTCTCTCCTTCCTACCTTTTCTACCTTTCCTTCCTTCCTTCCTTTCCCTCTTTCTCTTCTTCCTTCCTTCCTTCCTTCCTTCCTTCCTTCCTTCCTTCCTTCCTTCCCTCCCTCCCTCCCTCCCTCCCTCTCCTCCCTCCTTCCTCTCCCTCTTTTCCCTTCTCTCCTTCCTTCTCTCCCTTTCCTTCCTTCCCTTTCCTTTCCTTCCTTCCTTCCTCCCCTCCCCCTTCCTTCCTTCCCCCCCCAACCCCCCCCCCCCCCCCCCCCCCCCCTTCCTTCCCTTCTCTCCTTCCTTCCTTCCTTCCCTTCCTTCTCTTCTTCCTTCCTTCCCACCTTCCTTCCTTCCTTCCTTCCTTCCTTCCTTCTTCCTTTCTTTCCTTCTTCCTCTTCCTTCCTTCCCTCCCTTTTTCTTCTCTTCCTCCTTCCCTCTCTCCCTCTTTCCTTCTCCTCTCCTCCCTTCCTTCCTTCCTTCTCTACCCTTTCCTTCCTTCCCCTCCCCTTTTCTTTCTCTTCTTCCTCCTTCCTTCCTCCCTCCCTCTTTCTTCTTCCTTCCTTCTCTTCCTTCCTTCCTCTCTCTTTTTCTTTCCCTTCCCTCCCCTCTTTCCTTCCTTACCTTTTTTCTTTCCTTCTCTCTTCCTTCCTTCCTTCCTTCCTTCCTTCCTTCCTTCCTTCCTTCCTTCCTTTCCTTCCTTTCCTTCCTTTCCTCCCTCTCCACTTCCTTTTTACAGTGCATTTGTAAACGCTTGCTCATATAACCATGTTTTTACTTGTCTCCGAAACGTTAAGAGTGAGGGAGCCAATCTAATCTCCTTAGGGAGGGCGTTCCATAGCCGAGGGGCCACCACAGAGAAGGCCCCGTCTCTCATCCCCGCCAAACATACTTGTGATGAAGCGGGATCGAGAGCAGGGCCTCCCCGGACAATCTGGGAAGGCCCTGCTCTCGATCCTGTCTGCTTTCTGGATGGTTCAAAAGGGGAGATGCATTCGGACAGGTAAATTGGGCCAGAACCGTTTAGTTGGCCAAGTGGGGATTCAAATTCCGGTTCCCAGAGTCCCAATTCTCCATCCACATTTTCAATCTTCATTGTTTTTCTTCATTTTTTTTTTGAAAAGCCACTCAAGGCACAACATCCTCCGTGGTTGCCAAAGCAGAATTAAAAACACCATCAGTTCCAATCTAATCAATGAATTCATTACATTGGGGCTGGTCGCTGGAAGCAATTGCATTATCATCAGACTCTAATGGGAGATTTTTTTTCTTGCTTGCTGATGGCTCTGATTCAGTTCTGATTCATCTGGAAGCCCAGAGAGAAGGGAGCCAATCACGCACCCTTTCTGTCCATTGTGCTCCCCCCCCCCCCCTTTGCAGTTTGTGGCCCTTGTGCCTGCCCTGGGGCCCCTTTGTGGCCTGTGCGTGCTTGCGTGCGTGGGTTTTGCCCCCGTGTGCCCTGCCGGCTGCGTGGCATTGTGGTGCGTGCCGTGTGTGCCGCGCTGCGCTGTGCTGCTTGTGGGCTTGGTGCCCCCATTGTGCTGTGCTGCTGCTGCCTGCCCCATGTGGTGCGGCCTTTTCTTTGCAATGCGTGGGCGTGGGTGCCAGCTTGTGGCTCCTGGGCTGTCCAGTGCCTGCCCCCTTCTGTCCATTGTGCCCCCCCCCCCCTTGCAGAAAAACCAAGCAAGCACTTGCTCCATTTCTGGGCCCAAAACGCCAGAGACGTGATTGCATGTAGCAGCCTGAACATCCTGCCTTCCCTCTGGGATCGGAGGTGGAGACCTGCTTCTGGCCAGCTTTGGGAGATCTTGCCTTGTGCCTGACCCCGGACGGACCTCCTTGCTGCCCTGGGCCTCGCGGGAGGCGGAAGACCAGTCACTTTGAAATGTCTTCCTGCCCAGTGGGTTCGCAAAGAGATTATTGTTACTGTCACATTCCGTCTGTTCGGCTGTATACGTCCCTGGAGGAAGGGAAATGGTCACGGAGTGTCAAAGAGATAAGGCACACAAGCATTTCGGGGATGGATATGAGTTGGTGGAGGGATTGGAAACCAGAGCCTTTTTTTGGATTTGTGTGTTTTGTGAAGTTGTTGGGAAAGAAGGGACTGTCTCGTGAAAGAAACATCATGACATGGGGAAGCAGAATTGTTCCAAAGAAGGAGCAAAAGAGAGTTGCAACCACAGTGCTGGACCACTCTCACAACCACTCTCACTCTCCATGTCAGACTACACAGAGAAGCCATTGAAATCCACAAGAATGTGGACAATTTCAACAGAAAGGAAGAAACCATGAAAATGAACAAAATCTGGCTACCAGTATTAAAAAACTCAAAAATCACAACAGCAAAACAACAGAGGGGAAACAAACAGGCACATAAAATCACTCTCAACAAAAGATCCCCCCCAGGCACCTCCAAGCCATTGAATGCTAATCAAGGTGATCAGCTGAAACATTCATAGCTAGCCCCAGCAGACAAAAGTCCTTTGTCTCACCCTGGTCATTCCACAGATATATAAACCCATTTTTCCTACTTACAACAGACCTCACTACCTCTGAGGATGCTTGCCATAGATGCAGGCGAAACGTCAGGAGAAAATGCCTCTAGAACATGGCCATATAGCCCGGAAAAACCTACCACAACCCAGTGATTCCGGCCATGAAAGCCTTCGACAATACATTGGATTGTATGACTTTACACTGCCATACAATGCAGTTCAATGCTTTCTGAAATGGCATTTTATGGCAGTGTAGATAAGCAGGTGTGCCTGTAGCTTAGTAGCCCTCAGTCTGTGAGAGGTCTCTGTGGGAGAAGGGCCTCAGTGTGTTAGTCGGCCTCAGTATGAGAAGGCATCAGTATTAGTTCACTTCAGTGGGAGAAAGGCCTCAGTATGAGAAGGCCTCAGTGTTAGTTTGCCTCAGTGGGAGAAAGGCCTCAGTCTGAGAGAGCCCTCAGTATGAGAAGGCCTCAGTGTTAGTTTGCCTCAGTGGGAGAAAGGCCTCAGTCTGAGAGAGCCCTCAGTATGAGAAGGCCTCAGTGTTAGTTTGCCTCAGTGGGAGAAAGGCCTCAGTCTGAGAGAGCCCTCAGTATGAGAAGGCCTCAGTGTTAGTTTGCCTCAGTGGGAGAAAGGCTTCAAGTCTGAGAGAGCCCTCAGTATGAGAAGGCCTCAGTGTTAGTTTGCCTCAGTGGGAGAAAGGCCTCAGTCTGAGAGAGCCCTCAGTATGAGAAGGCCTCAGTGTTAGTTTGCCTCAGTGGGAGAAAGGCTTCAGTCTGAGAGAGCCCTCAGTATGAGAAGGCCTCAGTCGGAGAAAGTCCTCAATGTGAAATAGGCCTCAGTGTGAGTAGCCCTGGTGAGAGAAGCCCATCACGTGTGAAGCTTCAGTGTGTGAAGGCTGCTGTGTGTAAAAAGCTACTGTGTGAAGCTCCTCTGTAACTTTGGTGTGAGAAGAGCCTCTGTGAGAACGAAGCCCAGCGTGGAAACTGTTCAAAGAAGAAAAAGCCTCCAAAGGAAGAGATAACCTTGGCCTTTGTGTTTTTGTTCTTTTTACCACTTTTGGGCTCCTGGTGCTGGGTCACGCTGCTGTTAGTAAGTTACTCTGCTGTACATTTATGAGGAGGGTCTTTCTTTAATCAGCCCACTCGCCCAACAGAGTTGAGGTTGAAGGTTAGCTGCATCATCTTCTTGTATTGGGGACCTTTCTCTTTCCCAATCCTCTGATTCCCGCTTTTGCTTTCGCCTCCCTTTTCCAGGAGGACACAATGGAAGTGGAAGAGTTCTTGAAAGAGGCGGCAGTCATGAAGGAGATCAAGCACCCGAACTTGGTGCAATTACTGGGTAAGTGACAGGCTTACCAAGCCGGGTGGCTTGAACCAACGCCCTGCGCCGCGATAGGGATGTTAAGAAGCAGATAAGCTACTTAGCATACCGAGGCATTGCATAGGAACCTCTTAATTCTGTGGCAGAAGCCTGCGATTTCTAAAAAGTAGAGCAGATTTTTTAATGGACTCATCTAACTTGCATTTAATATCTGAAAGGCTTAAAGCTGAAACGCCTCTAAGCAGTTTTCAGGGGAAACTTTCTTTCGCCTCCTATTTGACTCTGACTCCTAAGCCCAGACTTAACCCCTAAGCCAAAACAGGCCCTAATCACCTCTAAACAGGCCCAAATTGACCCAAAACAGTGCAATGACAGCGAGACTGAGTTTTTTACCTTGATTCTTCCGCAGGTGTGTGTACGCGGGAGCCTCCGTTTTATATCATCACTGAGTTCATGACCTACGGGAACTTGTTGGACTACCTCCGGGACTGCAACCGGCAGGAGGTGAATGCCGTCGTCCTGCTGTACATGGCAACCCAGATCTCCTCAGCCATGGAGTACCTGGAGAAGAAGAATTTCATCCACAGGTGAGAGAAAGAGAAGGAGAGCAAGCCCATCCCAACTTGGGCCCACAATTCTACCAGATCAGAGTCTTCGTGTGGCTTTTCTGTTATCATTCATTGCGTTGTAGAGGTGTGTCCTGGGAGGCAGGACCCATAGTTTGAATAGCCTAATTTATTTATTTATTGTGCCAGAAGCGAACCGAGAGTACTGTTGTAATGTATTTGAAAACACAAACAAAGTTTTAGGACTTGGCATGATACTAAATGTCTTT